TGGAGCGGAAGAGGTGGGAGTGCTCAGCCCTCCCGCAGGGATGGAAAAGGGAAGAAGTGACCAGAAAGTCGGGGCTCTCAGCCGGCAAGAGTGATGTCTATTACTATAGGTGAATGTGCCACGGGGGGCCATGGGGGCCGGGCCGCCCGCCCTGCCGCAGCCATGCGTTGCTGGAGCTGAATGCGCTTTGGGGCCCGCGGGAAGGTACAGTAGGCGCTCGGGGGGCCCCTGCCCGGTGCTGCTGTGGGGCCCGAGGGCGCAGCGAGCCTGGCCCGCCCACAGCTCTTACTCTAGGGGAATGTGCAGTGGAAGGGCTGGGGGGACGCGTCTGCCCTCCCTAGCCAGATCTGTTCCGAGTCAGCGCGCTGCGGGGCTGAACAGCCACCCTACCACGTTATAGATCGCAGGTGGCACATTCTTCTGTAGTAGTGACAGCGGCGTGGTTGGGTGAGCAGCCCCCCCAAAACCCTTCTTCTGCACCGCTGTCTGTTACCCGAGGGGGCCGCGCACTCCAGCATAATAGCTTGCTATAAATCATCTGCTGTTAGAGCCCATTGAGTTGGAAGAGTAGAGGGAAGAGAGGCTGACCTACCACAGTAATGCCTGTCACTGTGGGTAACTCTGTCATGGGGGCGGATCGTGCATGAAAAATATGGGATCTTAGAGCAACTGAAAACACTTATCCGTATCACTTTATCTGAATATGCTGTTGGGTGGTTGTAGGGTGGGCCATTGTGTCCAGGGAGATGTCACAATGATGTCTATTTCTGTAGGCAAGCCTGTTATGGGATCTCTGAGCATTGAGGGAGAGAGAAGTCAACCATTTGCTCTACCTCTGTGCTGTCTTTTACTAAAGATGAATGTGCTATAGGATCCTGGGGGGAGGCCTTAACCTACTATGTTAGCATGAAATCTATTACAATCAGTAACTATGCCGTAGGGGGAAGCATGTGGTATGTGCCCACACTGCCAGAATCATGTATATTAATGTAGTTGTATGTGTCACATGTCTGTGGGTGGAACATAATGCCCAGAGGGAATTCACAAGGGGCAGTAACACTGCACCCAGGACCTGCCAAACCTGCCGCTGTGATGTCTGATAGTTTAGGCAGAATAGCTGTTGGGGGGGCAGGGAACATGTTGTGCAAAGCTGGAGGAGTGCAGTATGAGTTCACCTAGTGCACTGAGCTAGCAGACAGGAACTTTGGCACTGACGACTAAGGAGATGTACACCATCAACTTCTGCTAAATCAGAGGTTTCAGTTTTAAAATCTAACCATTCTGGCTATGAAGAGATCTTTCAAAGTGTTAATCAGGAAAATGACATTTGCATTGAGTATTCAGATTGGAAAATATCAGCCCTTTTGTTGTTGCTCATAGGCTCTGCAACAGAAAGAAAAGACTTTTTCCAGCAATTTGAGTTTGCTGCTCAAAACGTAAGAGAGATACGTACTTTTTTCGGCGCTTGAGGGCTGGTCCTTGAAAATTAAGGCCATATATTGTTTGTCTATATTGAATTTTCCAGATATGTCAATTTTGCGAAAGAAAGAAAGAAAGAGAGAAAGAAAGAGGGTGTAATATGGCTTTCATACATTAACTAAATTTTGAGTTCATTCTGTTGCATTCTAAGTAATGCATTCTGCATTACTAAGTCCAGGGCTATACTTCAAATTTAGGTATCATAGCTGTGTGTTTTAGAGTTGTGAAAAAAAATCACTCTGCTGACTAGGGATGTGAAAGGTTAACATCACCTTAACAGGTGATGCTTACCAGTTTTGGTTAACTGGTGGGGTCTGGAGGTGCTCCCCTATTGGGCAGAGGGCTGCTTCAGCCCT